TTGCGATTTTCAACTGTCTCCTTGAGATTTTAATAACTCGTGCACGCGCCTCGCTTTAGCTGTTGTTTAATTTGTTGCTCTGGTTTCGTTTTTATATCTCATTTTGACTTTATTGAGATTTCACTTGTCGATTTAGTAATCGGTGGAATTTACAAGGCTCCATAATTGAAAGTTAATTCTTTTAACGTATTTTTTTCAATAATATTGTGATTAAACTTGTATTACTTATAATAATTTCGGGCAATATTTTTGGGATGGTTGGAGTGACAGTATTTAATTGTCTTTACAACTCGCGATTACAAAAAAGAAAAGTGAGAAATTTTAAGCTGTTATTACGTCATCCATACACAATTCCATTAATAGTAAGTGCAATTATTTCATAAAATATATTTTCGAGTACATATATAAATATTTTACTCATTTTTTTGTATAAATTCTTATAGTATCATAAAGATGGATATATAAATATCCAGAGGCAATAGATATCTGCCTAGTTTTGCTTATAACATAGTTTCACATTTGATAAAAAGTCACGATAAAAATCGACTGTGAAAGTATTAGTACAACCTGCGGCTACATATAAGAGCCAGGTGCAACATCAAGATTCGTCGCAAACGGTATACGAGCCTTTCTCATGAATTCCGCAGCATCTTTCCACTGCATTTGGCCTTTCGTCAGGAAATCGCGGATTAGAATGAAGAGGTAAAAAGGAAGAACCGTAGGGGAAGATAGGACGATGAAGGGGGTTCTGGCGTAACAGAGATATCAAACAATTGGTTCCGCCATTAAATACGATCATCATCAGGCACAATTTTCTCAGTTCTGTTAGCCACGCTGAAAATGGTTTCTACCCGCTGGCGGATATCCGAGTTTGCGAAACTGGCCGTTAGTGCCGATGGAAAGCGAACGCGGTGACTACAAAGTCGCTTACTGTTTTGTTCCACAACTCTTGCTGAGCATTTGCTGATTGGCGCTATTAACAGTTTCAGCAGCATCGGGTTTTCATTATCGAAATATTAGAAACAATAGTTATTTAAGGTTAATTTGATTTAGGTCTATTAAATCTTTAATGTTTGTTTTGATATCTCTAACTAAATTACTTCATAAAATTTCTTCCTATTATTTATTTAAATAATTTTAACAGTTGTAATTTATAAATGCCGTTAAATAAAGTATTGAACATTGAAACGGAAGATTTATTTTTGATAAAATATTTCTAGTATAAATCTTTCATTTATTAAAAAAAATATTGCATTCAAATTGCTAATATTTATCTCAACAAGTTTATATAAATGAAGATTTCAAAAATAAATTACTCTGAACTTTCAATATATTGTATAACAACTATCTATTAAAATTAAATTATTATATTAGAAAAACATAAAAATTTTTTCAACATCACTATAAAAATAATAATATTGACCTTATGCTCTTTGATATGCTAAAATATACCAAAATAATGATAATAATTATCGATAATATATAATTCGCATGATGAAGTGTTATACTGTTATACGATAACGTGATATTAGCTTGCGCAAGGTTCGAATTTTGTTTTAAGCATTTCACGAACAACCGATCCGGTTCGCAATTGAGAAAATACAGTTTCATCTTTAACGAGCAATTGTGATTTAAAAGGAGTGAAATCGACCGCAAATGAGAAAACGAGAAGCGCGACAGTGCAGAAAATAAATGGGGAACGCCCGTGAGTGATGGCACATGGAGACCGAATGAACGTAATTTAATTGGACGCTCTAGAAAGTGCATTCCTAATTAATCTATTAGCACATTATTAGTTCTCGTATTGAATGCAGGCAAATCAGGAAGCGCGTAATTAAACATTTAATTTAGTATTACGCTTCGACTTGCCAATCACTTTCCATAATGATTACTAATGAGAAAAGATTTTCTCGATTAACATAAACTCTTCTGATGGTTTATATATGCAGGATTTACTAATACGTTCTCTCTGTTCGGAAAGGTACTTTTTTAAAATTATTCAAGTTTCATCAAAATTGTGCTAATTTTTGAAGTTATAATAAAACATTAATATTATTAAATTATTAAATTAATAATAAAATAAATAAATATAATTGACTTCAACAATATCAAGAATACGTATATTTCATATACTCATATCAAGAAATTATTATTCTTATTTAAATGAATTGTTAAAAAATATGTTAACATTTATCAAATCCAAACATTTTATACATTTACTTTATTTTGTATATGCAATATCTGTTTGCGAAATCAAACAATGAATTATTCTCGGTTTTTAATTATATTTCTAATTTTCCAGTATAATTATCGTATTTTTAAATCGCAAAGCCAAATCGCTATGCCGAAACAGACATCAGTCGCATTTTTTTGCTGGGCGTAAGGAAAGCAGAGGAATCTCCTCGATCGCTTCAAATCGCCAACAGTATTACACGGGCTCTTCCATATTGCGCATAAATATATACAGCGATCAGCCACGAAATCAGGAATAGATTTTCATGAATTTTCCTCCGGGGCCGGTTATTGCCCAGCCGTTGGCCTGATTCCCTTTCTTTAAACTCCCTTCCACTTCCATCTCTCTTTCACCCGTTCCCCTTTGTCGTCTCCTTCGACATAACGCATCTATCTCATCTTCTCTCCACGCTCGATCGTCTGCAGATCCGCCGATCTCGTCGATCGTACCGCCCAACTTCTACGCGGCATCTCCGACCGTTTCCTCATGAAATATTCACGCAGTACGACGAAATCATCGTTTGTTAGTCAGCACCATCTCTCCTCTTTCTTCTTCTCCTTCTCTCTCTTTTTGTCTCACAAGAGCGCGAGGATCTTACACTGTCGGACATTATCAGCCTCGTGGCCCATTTCTTTCCGACCGCTCCGGCGATCTCTTAGTTATCGTTACATTTCTTTTCTCGCGATATATTTGCGAAGAGAAAATACATAACATTTCAAGTATACATAATATATTTTTGTACATAGAATACCTTCAATTTATCGCAAAAATGATTAAAAGTCTCTCTTTCATGTCTGTGTAAAAAACAATAATTTGATAAAGATTGTAAAAAGTGCCAAAAAAAAGGCTGACAAGAATATAAAAATAATTTTAGGCGATAATGAATAATGGCAATTGATTTTAATTATAATTAAAGTTTTAAAAAGTGTAAAATTGTTAGTAAAACTGAGATTTACAAAATTAAAAATTAGCTATAGCCAAATTCATTAAACGAAACATTTGTTTTTGTATGTTTGAATTTGTGTGTTTAACACTTAAGTTCTACATTGTATTTGAAAGAGTATCTGGATTAAAAATGCTCGGTATATTAAAATTACTATTGAATATATATTTGTTTATCATTTACATTCGCATTTAAGTTCATACGAATTTATAATTTTTTCGATCGAAAATGCTTAAATACAGAAAGATGTTAATTACAATTTCGTTGCAAAATCTAAAATAGATCTTTTTATTGTTCTTTGTATCATACGCAAAACGTATTTATTATGATATATTAATGCAATCACCCACAATTTTTCGAAGAATTTGCTAAAAGTCTTTGTAGTAGCTTCCGTAAAATACTAGTCATAATACTAGCCTAGAAACGGTCTAATCAACGCCTAAATTACTAATGCCCTTACAGCTTTGGAACTGGAAATGGTACTCAAATATCACAAGGTCGCCGCCATCTAATGATGCACGAAACGAAAATTGGTGAAAGGATGCGTGGGATAATACGAGCCTTTCTGAAGGGTGCCGTGACGTTCACGAAGATTTTCTGCGCTTTTAATGAGCAGGTAGATCGTTAATAGACCGCATCGATCGTGAGAACATTTTCGTTTTTAGCCCAATAAATCGGTAATCTTGCAACGTCCACAACATTCCTATACGTCCATTGATGGATAAGCAAATGAAATGAGTACCAGTATTTTAAGATGATAGATACATTTTTGCGATAAGATGATTACAAATTTTCTTTTGTATTCTCAGGTTTGTACTTTAATTCATGAAGTTTATCGCTCGTGTTTAAGATTGTATAAAAAGATCACTAATGAGCAAGCAACCGAAATTGTAGCACATACGATACCCTCTTCAATTTGTCAGATGACTGACTACTTTAAGATACAGGTTTCGATTTCAATTCATGATTATATTCGCATGTAACAATGCGAAGGCAGAAGGTGGCTCGTCTCGCAATGACGAGCAAGAAGTAACAAGTGTACGCAACCTTCAGCGATGATGGAGGGCTGATTAAGCAAATCAGAAACATGTGTATCTGATGCACAGCGATCGATTCTCCTCACCATTACTTAATCAAATTTTGAATTTCAACATCAATCTGTTTTAATTTTTATTTTTCTGCAGAAATTTATATTCTAAATCTTTTTTATTTAAGTAATATTGTAATTATATCTTTGATTAATTTAATCTATATAATTGTATATTATTCTATCTTTTATATTTATTGTAATTTTTGCTTTAAGTTCCGTGTACCAATTTTTTATTGAAAAATTTATTGCATTATATGTATAAATATTTTTGATTGGTTATCTAAAATGAAATTGTAGCATCGTGTATAGGTATATCAAATTATTGCAGCACATCGTCTAAGTACTGACAATTAATTCATTTTTATGACGTTTGGTCATAATTGGCGAATATAGTATAAAAATTATCACTGAATTATTAAATTAAATTAATTTAATTAATTCCAGCATTTTAATTAATTTATTTTGACACAAATTGTATTTCTGTGCAATTTAATTGCGCAAAATTGAATTAGATATTACATTTGATAGTATTACTAAATGTTTATTTAGTTGTATGGTACGTTTAAGATGTTCGATTAAGCAAGAGCAAGGAGGCTGCGGTGAATCGCGAGATAAAATAAGAGGGTCGGCGTGTATGGGATAAGTGGCGGTGCGCATACATACGCACGTTGAATAATAAAACCCGTAGGTACTGTTCGGCCCTTTTTTACATCTCCGTTTACCACTTTACGCACCGCATGATGTTATCGTCGTTCTTACATCACGAATGTAGGCTGTGGCCTCAAATTTAAGCGTCCATCTCGAGGCGCTACAATTATCTTTCCACGCCGGCAAGGTCGCCGCATTGTCCACTCGAAGATGCAGTTGATGCAGTTTCACAAGGCTAACGTCATGTCCGTTCACTACAATTAAATAATGAACGTACGCTTTTTGTGGTATTGTTACAATATACCTCGCGTAAAATTGGATGAGGAATTCATCGCACAAATAAGGCTCGCGTTTCTTTTGTGCTTTTGTGAGTTAAGAAGACCGCCCGCGCCGGCACGACTCGATTTATAATTTTCATTTTTTTTTTGCAGGAATGACTAATTAATATGCAGTTTGTTTAAATGCGATGCACTTCGCCCTTTCAGATATAAATCAAGACCGGAGTAAAAAAAATCACAATTCGTAATAATATTCAATGATTGCAGCCTGGAAAAGCATCAAAACGTGTTTTCATTTATCACTGAATGATCTTTCGATGGGATGCAACACGCACCTGCAACGAATTTCTCGCGTAAGTATATATCTTTTATGCAAATCGGTCTATGAATTTTTATTTTTATTGCGAACGATTTCGTAATTTGCAGAATTACAATCTGATAGATACAAAAAACTCGAAAGTTCTATTTTGAGAGCGTTTAAAAAATCATTATGCAATTGACTTAAATCGCTAAAGCATAAACGTTCTTTATGATCGATATTTTATAGACATTTTGATGTGATGTGATATTTTTACAGATTACGCGCACATAATTTTTTTATAAACTAGTTCGCATATTTTCCTACGAATAGATATATCATGAGATAACATTAAAGCTTTCGGACTTGTCAATACACAATAGATAATGTTAATGAGATACAGATATCTATTACATATTAAAACAGCTTATCGTGCTTATTACGAAATTTCTCATTACATGCTGTCACGCTGTGAATCGTAAATTTTGTTCAATCGGAGTTTTCTCGGTCCACGTGGATTGTTTGTAGTATGAGATAGAGTTTCTAAACGGCAATGAAATTTAACAATGGCATTGCGGTACTGCTCGAATTTAATTTAAAGGCAGCAAGTCCATTGTACGCGCGAGAATGTATAAATAGACTCGGCATGGCATGCGAGCCCACGCATCAGCTTTATGCCACCGAAGAGATCCCGTCTTCGTCACAAAACGAACATTTATGGCCATAGGCAAAAAGACGATTGAAATTATTTCAATTTTCCTCTCTTAAACGGCTTTTTATATAAGCTCGTACTTTGACGGAGTTTCATTTATGAATCCGTTAATTCGCGTCGTAAAAAAAAAATTGTGCTCACTCCAATAATTTTTTCACCTATATGTGGTTGACTATTGACATTTATAAAAATACTCTAAATCGAATATTATAATCTTTTCAAATTTTAAATATTTTTATTTATATTTTATCAAATTGAAGAATCGTTTATCGTAATAAGATATACATAAATAATAAAAGAATTTTTAATGGAAACCTCACCTCGAGAAAGAGAGTTTTATAAAATATATTGAAACACAATAAAAAAAGGTGATATTTCAAGAACAAAATTAAAAGATGAAGAACAAAAAAAGAAATAAAATTGTTTAATAGTAATAATACTATAAATTTTTCATTAAATTCTCTTCTACAATTCAGGAATGAATAAATTAATTCATAAAATAAGATAAGATATTATTAATTATTTTATATAAATGTTAAAATTTATATAAATATTTAAAAGAACATAATTTAATTACACATGAAATATTACTCTGCAATACGTGAAAACTATTTAATATAAAGACAGTGCGTAAGCATCACTGCAGATTATGGAAGATACCGCGGTAGAGGTACTTAATAGCCGGTACTCGGTGACGGTAATGTCGTTCGGGACCCGTTTTATTGCCGTTTGCGCCAGTCCAGGATCGAGGTGAGGACATTGTTCGAACGTCTGGGAGTCTCTCATGATTGTCGTGCTCTCCATTCTCGTAATAGCCAGCGTATTCAAATACCGGCTTGTATACGTTTGCCAGGATTGTTGAGCAACGAAAAGGAGAAAAAAGAGGTAAGATCCCGATGTTGTTCGCGTAATATTACTTGACACTGTCATGTTCCGTTCGGTTTTGCAAGGATGGGATTGAAGAGAAAAACGGAGTAGGCGGAGTCGTCATATACGACTTTATATTAAACCGTATCTGACTCGATATATTTGGTTCTATTCGACTTTATCGACGTTTAATCACATGTTTTGGGCTCATTTTTTTAATATATAAAATAATATATAAAAGAACGATGTTGTTAAAATTTCTAAAAATTTAGTTTAATACAGATCTGAAAATAATTTTGTTAGATCGTCAAAATAATTTTCTAAGAATTTTTTTCAAGCATATATGAGAGTAATTATAAAAAATGTTGACATTCCAGCAGTTTAAGCGTCCCAATACATAATTATTTTGATGGTTCAATAAAATTATTTTCAGATTTATATCTTAATTAAAATTTTAGATACTTCAACAAAATTATTCTTTTCGTGTGTGATTACATAAAATTGCTGAAACACCGAACGAGATTTTAGTAGTTGTGCAGATTGATTTCAAGTACAACGTGCTGACTATAAATACGAATTATTACGATCTTTATAACTGTACATCTGAATTTGTTTTCCTCTGATCGATCTCATATAAGTAGCCGTCAATCAATTTCGTAGCGAAGGAAAGATCTACGTCCGGAAGATCTTACTCGTTATTCGCGTAGATTTACCTCTTCAAATTTTCTTACTACCCGCGCAATCGTACAAATTATCGTTATTCCCAAGGCGAAAGGAGGAGATCTAGCGCGTATTATTTACAATTACTTTCGTGCAATGTGCGCGATGTTCGCGCCCGTCGTAATTTGCGATTTATCGCATACGGATAGTCATGGGTGCGTCGGCGCACGTACGAAGCCGATTCTAACAAATTGCCGATAGCGAGGCAGAGATGGATCGGGCAACAGAGTATGAGCAATAGAGTAAGGAGGAAGAAAATAATGGGCCACGGGACAAGAGCGGCCTTCCGCTCCTCGGCTGCGTTGGTTTCACATAACTGTTAACGGTGTTGTCGGTCAGTCTACATCGAGATCGGAATCGCTCGGCGGCAACAAAAATCACCAGCGTCCCGCACTCGACTTACCTGTTATCAATTAACTGTTAACGTCACTGTACCCTCGGTAGCGCGTCTGCTGCGTATGCTGTCGTAGCTCAAGCCCTATGAATAATGTATCGCTGGCATATCTCTCGTGCTACTCAATCGAATATTCTGACCCGCGTCTTTATTCTCTGAGAATAATTTGACAAGAGAAATAAAATTGAACGGATTTTGCGAGATTTGATTTTGGTTTCCACCGATAAATGTACTTTTTTCTCATTTGCGGTATTCACAGCGATTACAATTTGTAAGAATTTTAACGCAACTATCAATTGTTGTATCTTAATAATTAAATATCTCAGATATGTTTATACATGTATATAAATGTGATTTCGTGACTAACGTGAATGTCGCGTGATGATTCGACATCCGTCACTTTTCCGTTTTGCATTATGTAAATGTATATGCGTTATTTTGACTACTCCAACGTAAACATATTTATCAGGGTCTTTCGTGCCTTGCATATCGGACAATCTCACTTGTTTCCTATCCCTCTCGCGCGCGCGCGCCTGGAGGCACGTAAATTTATGAACGAGGAAATGGCAGGAATGACGCAGGAACATAGCTTTTGCAACGTCTGCTTTCTTGGGCGGCAAAACGAACCGTTCGGTGATATAAGGACGAGCGTGGGCGATTTGCTCTTGCGCGAGATCGCAAGCGCAGCTTTAGAACTGGTCTCGAACGAATTAGACGTCCAACGCATTTTCGCGTTGAAACCCACGAGAGCGCGAATTTATAGGCGTCCCTTTTAATTGCGTTACGTAAGATTTTCTTAATGTCAATCTGCATTGGTTTCATGCAGTGATACTCACGAGTATTTTATATGAATTGTACACGAAAAAAAAACCAATTTATTGAGGTATCTAAGAATTTAACTAGATACAGATCTAAAAATAATTTTATTGGACCATCAAAATAATTACGTAGAAATCTCAAGCATGACAATGATGAAAAAGTTTTGACATTATAGCAATTACTTTGAGCATCCCACATAATTATTTCGATGGTCCAACGAAACTTTTTTCAGATTTATATCTAACTAAATTTTTAAATACTTCAGCAAAACCGCTGTTTTCGAGTCCTGTCAGTTATCTAAATTAATGATTATTAATTAAGCATTATAGTTGTAACAGTAAAATTAATCCAGAAGGATATCTGGATAATGTCCGAAAAAACCTGTACATCTAAATAATAACTCAAAACAAAATCAATGGTATTAATTGAATTTATTAATAATCTTAGTAAAAAATATCGAGACATTTGCAAATATATGATATCATAAATCACGTTAAAAATAATGCAATAGCGATTGTATTCTGTTAATTAATTTTATATATTCAGTTAGTTAATTTTAGTTATTATCATATTTTGCTTTCGCAAATTGTGCACACTTGTTGACGAATTATCGGATAACTTCCGCGATCACACTCGTACGCATTCGATTGTTTTCATTCAAATTTCTCAAAGAGAAAATCTCTTTCTCTGCCTATTACTATTCAATGTTCCTGCTCGCAGATTGTTGCGCACGCGACACCGTGGTCTGCATTTCACAGGAACTCTATAATTACCGGGAGCGCGGAACGCCGATGTCAGGAGTACGAATCGAGATTTCGTCGACGACGTCGGATGCACCGCCGCGGCGCCGCGCCAACGAGAAGATACCGAGAGCGTTAATACTCGTATCTCAATCAATAAGGTGCTTTTCCAATGTTAGCATTCAAATATTACAAACATTAGATATTTATAAACTTTTAAAAACAATCATAAATTATTTTCATGACAATCTTACCTGGAGAGGAAGACATAAAAAGGATTATTTTCTATAAATCCATAAATTAGCTAGATACACACACACACAAATTTGAAAATAATTATTTTGTTGGACCACTAAAATAATTATGTAAACTCTCAAATTGACTGATAGAATGTCAAAACTTTTTGCAGCATCACTCATCATATTTGAGATTTCTACGTAATTATTGTAATAATTTAACAAAA